GGGCAGGTTGGCTACAGAAAGCCATGCAGGATTTCCACTGCAGTTTTTAAAAGAACAGGTATGGAAAGAATCCATTTGGTACTACGAAAGCTTCCCTAAGTGTCCTACTATACAACCCTGAAGAGAAGCCATATTGCCAAGTATTTGAACTTCTTCCCAGCTGACTTAGCAAAGCTCCAGTAACTTTCTTAAGATGCAGAAGAGTGCTGATATTTTAACAGAGCCTCCATCCCAGGAACCTCAGTGCTGGGAAAGCAGAGAAGCCAGGAGCCAGACTTCTTAGCTTTCTCTCCCACAGATCTACTATCGTAACTGAGATGGGAGAAAACATTGCTTAGTTGCCGGGCTTACACAGATTTCAGCAAGTTTTTAATTATGCTCCTCCAGAACAGTTTTTGTTCTGCTTGCAGGTTGATTGCACTGTGCTGTGTGAATACGGACAAGTGTAGCTTCCTTCCCATCTGCAACCACACCAGACACCTGGATTTCAGATCAATTTCAGATGCTCTAGAGAATAAATATTTACCTTTTAGACCAACTTTTCAGTCTCTCAAGGATAAAGTCAGCTCTGGCAGGACTGGCTTAGAGGCAACCTAGATAAGAGATAATTTCCTTCCTCAGCATGAATCACTCCTCCGTTCTCTCTATCAGAGTCTCCTTCCACTAGCAAGGGAAGCGAGACACACAGACCAAAGGCTAGATATCAGTGGGAACAAATTAAACTAAAATATGTACAACCACCCGGGCAGTTCCCCTTTGCCAACAGCACGTCGAAGATTCTGGGTGAGCACCTGACTCCTTCCCACTAAGTTTGAACATGATTTAAGTTTTCTAAGGCAGCAAACAACAGTTACAACACCGTGAGAATGGTCTTTTTAAAATGCAATCTCTTTCAAGGAAACAAAAAAAAAAGCAAGCTCGGTACTTTTTCAGCTGAAAGACAACTCCTGCTTCTGCCACAGAAATACGAGCCAAGTCCTAATTATGAGGAGAGTGTCTTAAGCACCAGGACACTGCAAAGATGCAAGCAGGAAAAAGGCATTGCTTGAACACAGAATTTGAGAATCCTAAAAAAGAAAAGAAAAAAAAAAAAAAAAGGCAGGAGTGTGAAGGTACAAGAACAAGTCTGAAGCCAGACCACACCACACAACTCAGATTTCCTTACAAATCACCACCACACAGCAGACGGCAGAGGTGCAGACCTCTGCTCTCACGGTATGTAATATTTCTTACCTACCCAGACCTCTTCAGCACTCATTAGGAAATTCAAGCAATTGTACTAGCTGGGTTTGTACTAACTTACCAACTGACCAATCCTCAATCCAAGCCACGTTTTCACTCCAGGATGTTGCAGCCAGCAAGGCTAGAGAGGCCTTGCAGGAATTCCCACTAGTATCTAGTTTCAAGGGGCTCCAAAGTGGTCGCTTTAAAAACCTCCACAGAAGAAAATCTGGCCTGTGGGTTGCTATCCCAGAAAGGGGCTGGGATTCAAGGGGGTAGAAGGAGCCTCCAACATGACTTGGGGTTTATTTAGCATATGGCAGACAGCCAGATAAATTCCAGGTTGATGTTAGTGAAGAGATGCTGCAGGATTTCCAGCTCAGACTGCAGTTTAACAATGTACCAGCCCTGGTAGCAAAACTAGGTAAAAATTTCTTTCCCAGCTCCTGTTCCCATCTCTGTACTACAATTTGCCACCCTCTCAGCACACCTCTGCGGTTGTCTTGCAAATAATGAGCAAATGGTAGGGGATGTCAGGATTCCTTACCCTGGGTTTACCATGGTGGCCAGCAAACAGCAGCTCCACAGCCTCAAGCTCAGGACTGGGTGACACGCTAAGCCCTAAACTAGGTTCTGGACCAATGTAGTCTCCCACCCATGTAGCAGATCCTATCATCTCCTTTCCTAAGGAGACAAGCTGAGACCCTCAAGCACAGCCTGTGCCTGCTGACTCTGTAGTCCCCAGCAGCCACCTTGGAGAACTGTCAAGAAAAGAAAGATTATACCAAACTTGAAGAGATTTTTTCCTTAAATCTTACAACAAAACCCAAGGAGTTGAGAAAGCCTGCCTGAAATACCATCACAAGCAATCCTCTATGCTCTCCAGTATGTCCACAGAAACTGTGCCCATACTTCTCTGGGCCACAGCGAGAGCCAAACAGAGGGTTAGGAGGATGCTGAAGTGATGACACCACTCTCCCGAGCTCCTAACGAAGGCTGTGCAAGCAGCTGCTGAAACATATTAGGATTAATATACTAAATACCTACCTCTATTGAATTGAAACCTAGAAAGCTGGTGGACTTGCAATGCTCTCTAAACGCCCCTGAAGCGGACTCAGCATGGCCTCTACAGCACCTGGGTACTGGGAGTAAACTTAGGCCATCAAATGTAATACACTATGAACTACAAAGCCATTTACAACCCATGAATTTGGGATCACCCTCCAACACCACAGTGGTTAAACATGCCCACTCCTCAGAGAAGAAAGAGGACAAATTTGCAAACTTATTTCCAGAAGTGCTGAGCTCCTACAACCCCCACTGAATTCAACAACACCCCAGGTGGACAACAATCAGGGGCCTGGGTGGGGTGGTCATCAGCAATTCAAGTCTCCCAACAGGGCTGTGCAGATCTGGGAATAAACCCAGGTACAACACTTCCAACTTTAAATAAAGCCCTAGGAAATGCTACCTGGAAGAGTCACTACTCTGAACATTACTGTGTCTTGGCTATGGACAAACATTCGGCTGCTGGGAAGTTTTCACTGCCTGCTTACAGGTACCTTAACACACCTTCACCGTATGTCATTTCCATGCTCAGTTGTCACTGCAAAGCCACCCACCATCACCAGGGGCAGAAGCAGCAGAGGTGCTAAGGGCCTGTAACAGAAACACAACTTTGATGTTTACAGCAACAGATTTCTAACCTTCACAGTTCCAAAGAATAGCTCAAAAGACCTCAGGTAAACAAAAATACCAAGAGCATCAAGCTTTGCAGACAACACTTCAAGAGCTATCAGCTGTTAAATGCATCATTAAGTAGGTGCTGATGTTCCCCAACTGCTATCCCAACACCAACCGGGCTCTCTGTTGGAGTTGTCACCAGGCAACTTCACATACAAACGCCTCTGCTCTGGAGAGGAAGATCAGCTGACCCTGCGACTGAGTCCAGGAGGAAGAAGGTCCTGGTCCTAAAAGCAAGGCTAACAAAGCCTGCAGCCTAGAGACAAGCTCTTCTGCGAGTGGTCTTTACCTGGCACGGGTCTTACTCCACCACTCAGCTTCAGTGACCTGCTTAAACTGCTGCCGCCAGCACTGTACCAGACTCAACATCTCAGAGAAAAATGCAGGGACATGCGCAGTGCCTTTCCGAAGGGCTTATCATGTGGCCAGCTCAGCGAGACCCTGAAGCACTTCACTTCCTAACCGAGTACAATCCGAACAGCTTATGCATCCACTGCGTAAATCTCTCCAAGACAAGACATCTTACATGTGTAGTGTTCATTGCTTCAAGGTGCTCTGCCACATAAATAAATCCCTTCCATTTGCAAGACAGGGGTGATTTCCTTCTGTAACATGTGGACAGATTCTGATTATTCTGATTTGCTGTAGTTGGACCAAGTCCACACAATCATATCAGCACCGAAAGAAAGATGAGGACCCAGGACTTCCTGGGTGCCAGTCCTGTGCTTAGACCTTTATATGGCACTGCATCCCAATACAATTGTTTTAACAACATTAGAATAGGCAAATTTAATTACCAGTTGTTTCCTCATAACATCTAATAAATTAACACTAGGGGGAAAAAAAGCCACACACATTAACCCACAATTCATAGCTGTTGTCACCACCCTAAAAATGCTAGGTCATGGGCTAACACTGGGCACTGGACAAGCCCACGGAGTGCCACAGTGAAGGCTTCTGGTCGATTATTTCCTTGCCTCTTCCCGTAGCACCAGA